ATAAATGAGAGAATGAAGCCATACAGTTGTTGATTAAGCTTTTAAGAAGGTTGGATGAAAAAGAAGAGGAGTGGAACAAAAATTGGTAGCTAGAGGCAATGTAAGAGGGAATCCTTTAATATTAGAGAGCATTTCTATAGGTTGTGAGGAGGCTGTGTGGACAATGAGATTAATACAAGATGGGGTTGGGTAACTGGTGTATAACTGATGGAAATTAAAACTGGCAGGGATTCTTTTCCTTTTGAAGGCAATTTGGTCTGATGTTTGTGAAAGGAAGAGCTAATAATGTTTATGTTGAAACTCTTAGAATGTAGCTGTTTCCAAGCAGTTCTTAAATCCTGTTTTGTTTTTTCTTTTTAATCTTTTCAGAAAACACTATCTTCAGAATAGAATTTAGGAAACATGGAAAGGTTTTCAGGCAACATTGAGAGCTCTGTTGAAGTTGGTTACCACAAACTCATAGTTACACTAATTTGCTCAATTGTGTGATACAAAGAAAGTGCACAGTTGGTATGACTGTGGATTACAGCTTTGCCACACCAGGTGTAAAAGAAAGTGCAAGGTCTTGGTAATTGGCGGAAGGTGGTTATAATGAAATCCATGAGGTACAAAGAGAGAAGCAGAGACCAGGAAAAACAATGTCAGTAAGGTGGAAAGTTCAAGGGAGTGTCAGTCTTGGTGAGACTGACTGGCAAGTATAGTTGGAACAGTGGGGAGAGAGCCCTGTGTGGTGTCTATCTTAGCATTCTCTACTGGTTATCCTTGTGATTGACCACTCCTCGGTTTCCCTATTTAGGAATTTTTCTTCTGCCAATTTTTTATATGTTGGTTTCCCTGTAGTACTCTAGGTTCTTCTTTAGTTTGTTTTCCTACACTTTCTCATGTAAAAGATGCAATTGCTCTCTATATGCCCATTATTCCTAAGAGTTTCCCTTAGCTCAGTTTTCTTTCCCAAACTGCACCCTTATTGTCTACTTAACGTTGCTACCTAGATGTCTCAAATTCATCTAGCCCAAAAGTGAGCATTCCATCCTCTGCTCCAAATCTTTTTCTTTTCCTGAGCTCCCTGGATCAGTAAAAAGTACTTGCTAGAGACAGAGGCTTGGGTGTATAACTCTTAACTGTTCATCGTATAGTGTATCATCTTTTATTTAGACCTGCACTGTCCAGAACAGTAGGCACTAGTGTCATGTGTGTAGTTCAATTTGAGATGTACTCTAAGTGTAAAATATACTCTGGATTTTGTATATTTAGTAAAAACAAAGACAGCAAAATATATTAGCAATTTTTATTGATCATACATCAAAATTATATTTTAAATTTATAGGATATGTTAAATTTGATACATTATCAAAATTTAACTTATTTTTGCCTTTCAAAACATGCAGCTGCTAAAAATTTATAGATAATCTATGGTTCTCATTTTAGTCTCACTATTATATTTCTGTTGAACAATGTTGATTTGGACTATTGAGATTTCTAACAGGTCTCTGCCTCCATTGTTGCCACCACCTCCAATCTCATATCACTCTGATTTCATTCTGAACCACACTATAAGCAATCCTTTTATCTGTTCCAGCACTAATCTATTTAAAGCCTTTTCAAAAAAAATGCCTTTTCATGACTTCTTTCTCCATATCCTATTCTTCAAGACCTTGCTCATCGTCTGTCTTCATCTTTATCCCTTACACCTTCATTTTCATATCCCCAAATGAGTTCTGCACTGTTGGATCATTCTCTCTCCCCCTTCTTACCTGGTTAATGCCTACTCATCATGTAGGAAGGCGTTCTTTTGGTAATGCTTTCCTAATCACTCAAGACTGTGATAAGTGAACACCTCTTATATTTTCTCTTAGCTCCCTATACTCTAACCTGTACTTAAATTATGTTGTACTGTCTCATTTTGGTTTTTTTTAAAGATTTTATTTATTTACTTGAGAGTGAGAGAGAGAGGATGCACACACAGAGGGAGAGGGAGAAGCAGACTGCCTGCTAAGCAGAGTCTGACGCAAGGCTCAATCCCTGGATCCTGGGATTATGACCTGAGCTGAAAGCAGATGCTTAACCCACTGAGCCACCCAGACACCTCTATAATGTCTCATTTTGTTGTCCCTGTCTTTCCTCTCATGTATTGTAAACTCTCCCAAACCAGTAACCAATGTATACCTGGTGCCTGTTATAGGACTTTGGCATCTAAAAGGCAAATATAAGTAAATATTTGTTGAATGAGTGATTTTAGTTTTCAGAGGATGAATATTTACTGGTTATATTGTGGGAATTATGGCAAGGGAATGGATTGAATATCTGAAATAGGAATAGAGAAGCGCCTGGCTGGCTCAGTTGGAAGAGCATGGGACTTTTGATTTCAGAGTTGTGAGTTCAAGCCCCGTGTTGGGTGTAGAGATTACTAAAAAAAAAAAAAAAAAAAAAAAAAAAAACTAATAATAATAATAAGTTTTTAAAAAGAAATAGAAATAGAGATTACTGGAGTTAGATGTTTTAGGGAATGGAGAGGCCTCAATCTATGTTTCTGCCTTTGTTACCCCATAAATAACAGATGATTAGTTTTCTTATAACATCTTTATTGAAATATATTCACAAACCATACAATTCACCCATTTAAAAATGTACAGTTGAATGCTTTTTAATATGTTTATAGAATTGTACAGTTATTACCACAATTTTAGAACCATTTCAGGGAGTGATTTGTTTTTAAAAGCCTCCAAATAATTTTGACATGTCCATCTAAGTAGACTTCTTTCTCCTTTCCCATGTACTCCTCATCTGCTAAGACATCAGTGGGTTAAGAGAATGACCATGTCATTTATGTTTTGTATCTATTAAATTACCCATGACTGTGGAAAGATTTGTCATAAAAGAGTCAAGAATAGATGGATTCTACTGAGAGGTCAGTGGATACTAGGAAAGGAGATACAATGGCAGAGGTAGAGTTCAGGAGGGTAGAGGCACAGTTTATATTCCTCAAAAAAACAGTATTTATACTTGATAACAGTGATGATCTCACAGCATTTGTTTTTTTTTATAAATTAATTTTTATTGGTGTTCAATTTACCAACATACAGAATAACACCCAGTGCTCATCCCGTCAAGTGTCCCCCTCAGTGCCCGTCACCCATTCACCCCCACCCCCTGCCCTCCTCCCCCTCCACCACCCCTAGTTCATTTCCCAGAGTTAGAAGTCTTTATGTTCTGTCTCCCTTACTGATATTTCTCACACATTTCTTCTCCCTTCCCTTATATTCCCTTTCACTATTATTCATATTCCCCAAATGAATGAGAACATACACTGTTTGTCCTTCTCCGATTGACTTACTTCACTCAGCATAATACCCTCCAGTTCCATCCACGTTGAAGCAAATGGTGGGTATTTGTCGTTTCTAATGGCTGAGTAATATTCCATTGTACACATAAACCACATCTTTATCCATTCATCCTTCGATGGACACCGAGGCTCCCTCCACAGTTTGGCTATTGTGGACATGGCTGCTAGAAACATCGGGGTGCAGGTGTCCCGGCGTTTCATTGCATCTGAATCTTTGGGGTAAATCCCTAACAGTGCAATTCCTGGGTCGTAGGGCAGGTCTATTTTTAATTCTTTGAGGAACCTCCACACAGTTTTCCAGAGTGGCTGCACCAGTTCACATTCCCACCAACGGTGTAAGAGGGTTCCCTTTTCTCCGCATCCTCTCCAACATTTGTTGTTTCCTGCCTTGTTAATTTTCCCCATTCTCACTGGTGTGAGGTGGTATCTCATTGTGGTTTTGATCTGTATTTCCCTGATGGCAAGTGATGCAGAGCATTTTCTCATGTGCATGTTGGCCATGTCTATGTCTTCTCTGTGAGATTTCTCTTCATGTCTTTTGCCCATTTCATGATTGGATTGTTTGTTTCTTTGCATCTCACAGCATTTGTAAGCTCAGAATCCACCTCCTGACCCAGCGTCTGTGAGCTATGGGAGAATAAGCACCCCTGTATTTGAGAAGACTAAAGAGGAGCACTGTCTTTGTTTGGGGAAGGAATAGATCTACCATTTTTTTTTATCTGAGGAGGTCAAGGAAAGTATCTAGGGAGGTCAAGGAAAGTTTTCAATAAAGATGTTTGAGATGCAGGGCATTTTGTTTACCATGGAACAAATTGAGGGGCATGGAAGAAGTGTTTGAATGAGGATATAAGACTGTCGGATGGAATTCGCTGGCTGCAAAGTTTTCACAGGAGTAAGGATAAAGATTTGATTGATGGGGTGGCAGGTGAGGAAGAGATTGGGTAGTTGCTTGCCTCTTTGGAGTTGACCAAGACTTGGATTAGTAAGATTTTAGATTAATAGGCTGGCAAAAGTTATTAGTTATATTAATAATAAATTGGAAACACTTTATAACCAGTTAGGAAAGAAGCCTTAGGAAAAAATGATGTCCAAAATAACAGGTTTATAATATACCACTGAGTCAGTAACTTGTGGTACCATTCATTAAAGGAGACAGTTGACAGAGGAGAGAAGCAGGTTATAACTTAATGTTTAAGTGCTCTTTTTTCCGCTAGAATTAACCTGCATATAACTAGACTAAACCTTCTAAACCATTTCTGTAAAAGCCTCTTTCCAAAGGGAAATGATAACATAAATGGGGTACAATAACATAAAATGGAAAGGCTTGTTTTATAGCTTTATTAAATCACTGTGATAAGTAATTATTGGACTGTGGTTATACTTAGTATATGAGGTGTTTTTAAATTGTATTGATAACTAGTGATAATTGCAATACAGTATAAGTTTTGTTTTATACTAAAAATTAATGTTATTTTTTAGATTTTTATAAGGTTTCAAATCACTGCTTAAAAGTTTTTAATGTATATATAAGCTTGCTTTTGTAATATACATATTGATACTTTATAGAAAAAATGGTGTGTACTTATTCAGAAGAATTACTGGATATGTATTTGCTTTAGAATTATTGAAAATTAAACATTTATTTTTCTTTCCGTAGTCTAAACCCCTGATACCTCTTCAAAAAGAGACTGATTCAGAGACCCAGAAAATGGTGCTCACTAACTACATGTTCCCTCAGCAGCCAAGGACTGAGGATGGTAGGAATTTAAGAATCTCTTTTCTTTTAAAAATTCAAATACTAACAAATCACAGCAAAGGTGTGAAGTGAATTTTAAGTCTCATAAACTTTTACCAGTTTGAAGGGAATTTGGAAATAAATTTCTGAAAATGAGAAAATAAGTCAGTATGTCAGGGTTGTAGATAGTTGGAGTTAGAGATACCTATAGACCAAATGCTTCCGTAAGTGATTCCTTGAAATTGTTTAATTCAACTTCATCTATTATAGATCTCTCTCTGTTCTTCCGCTGAATGTTAGGAATGCATGTCAAGGGTTATGTAATTACAACTATAGAACCAGGAATTGTTTTTTTGTTGTAGACTAAACACTATGCTTGGATCCATATACCAGATAAAGATATAATATGTAGAATTCTGACTAAAGGGTTCTTATGTTTTACCTAGAAAGGGGAATATATATACTTTACTATTTTTTAACAGTTTTGGTATGATAAAGCCTTTTAGATTAAGGAGCAAAATTGTTTTTAGTACATGTTGTTATGTGTCTATGTGTAATGTATATTTTATGTTACACCTAAAGATATAATTTTTATGTGTATATTTTTCTGAAACCAGTGAAAATCATTATGGCCCTAAGTTATTTATAAATTAACTCTTAATACATAAAAACACTGAAGAAAATCTAAATTAATCATTAATTTTAATTTATAAAATATACCACAAGCAAGTTAAATAAATTCTTGGACTTCGGTTTCCTTCATCTTGGAATAATGATAATAGTATATGTTTTGCAGGGGTTTTGTACAGATGAGAAGCACTGGATATAAAGTGCTTATCAACACAATGGCATAATCAAATTGGATGTTGTTATTGTTTTGGCAGGTTCAGCAACCAGTTTTGTAATTCTTAAATAGATTAAAAATTAAAATCATTTAACTTCTGTTCCATTACTGGTGATAAAGAACTCATTTATCTGTGCTAATTATTTCTTATTCTTTGCAAAAAGGAATAAAAGACTTGATAAGTTATTTCATGGGAATATATAATGAGATTTGTTTGGGTGAAACAAAACTATTTAGCTTTTGAATTGAATTATAAGTTAATACTGTGAGAAGTCAGGTATGAGTACCTTCCTTCATTGGGGATCTATAACTAATGCTTAGAGAACAGATTTATAAGCACGATTCCTTTTCCATATATTTAAATAAATCCCCAATTTCCATATTTAGCAATATAACTTGAAAATATGTATCCATAACAAAATATAGTATACTTCATTTTAGATAGTCAATGTTGAACTATTGTTTTATGCAAGTACTCTGTATGTGCATTAGACAAGTTCAGGGGCACCTGGCTGGCTCATTCAGTACAGCCTGTGACTCTTGATCTCAGGATCTTGAATTCAAGCTCCTCATTGGGCATAGAGATTACCAAGAAAAAAAAAATTAAGAAGTTCAAAATAGATATACCAACACTGGCGTATACCCTTGTTTGTGCATTGTAGGAAATTTAACAACTGTTTGGAAACATCAATAGGTGTTTTTTTCCTTTGTCTGCTATAGTCACTGAGACTCATGTTTCAATTTTCCACTTTATCTCTAAAGGTGATTTCTAACAGTATTTCAGTTAGCTACATAATTAATATATTCAAATAGTTATTTTTTTACATGGGATGATAGAATGCTAAAATAGAATGCTAAAATATTTGTGAGGAAAGAGAAGAGTGAATTCTTAGTGTAGAGAAGAGACTTTAATGTCCTGTTGCATGGGGTAGCAAATTATTTAAGTGAAGGACCATTTAATAAATATTTTTAATAAACTAATTTGGCTTTTATTTTATCTTATTATTTTATTTTATTTTATTTATTTTATTTTATTTTATTTTTTTATTTTATAACAGAGACAGAGCATGAGTAAGGAGAGGGGCAAAGGGAGATGGAGAAGCAGACTCTCTGCTGAGCAGGGAGCCTGACATGGGGCTTGAACCAAGGACTCTGGGATCATGACCTGGGCCCAAGGCAGACACTTAACCCACTGAGCCACCCAGGGGCCCCCATTTAATAAATATTAAAGGCTTCATATACCATAGGGTTTTTTTTTTTTTATGATAGTCACACAAGGAGAGAGAGAGAGAGGCAGAGACATAGGCAGAGGGAGAAGCAGGCTCCATGCACCAGGAGCCTGACGTGGGATTCGATCCCGGGTCTCCAGGATTGCGCCCTGGGCCAAAGGCAGGCGCCAAACTGCTGCGCCACCCAGGGTTCCCTACCATAGGTTTTTGTTGAAGCTACTTGATACTGTCTGTTTAGTGGAAAAACAGTCAGATGATATGTAAACAGATGAACATAAGTGTGTACTAATACAATTTTATTTATGGACAGAGAAATTTAGATTGCATGTAATTTTCATGTGTCATGAACTAGTTTTTTATGTTTTGGGTTTTGGCCTCAACATTTAAAAATTTTAAAACCATTCTTAAGTGAGCCCAGATTTAATAGCTTTTGGTCCCTGTCGTATGGGGTAAAAAGGCAAATTGAGAGATTTGGTTCTTTTTTTTTTTTTTTTTTTTTTGGATTTGGTTCTTATTCTCATTTTTTGCTGCTTTTATTTCAGAAAAATAATAAGAACTGGTAATTATTAGAAATCCAATACAGATATCATTCTGAAGGAAGATCTTCAAATAAAATTATTTTTTCCCTGATGATGGAACCAGAGTGTCCGGAGGACATATTTAATCTTTGATATTTTTATTATATTAATGTGTTATTAGTGTTTTGTCTACCTGCTTTTGTTTTTGTTGCTGTCATATGGAGACTTCAGAATGTTATTTTCCTTTCATTTTAACTAACATTAAAATAACCAAGCATGATTCCAACAATGAATAAAACTAGGCAAAAGCATATGTGTAGTTTTTATTTGAGTAATGAACTAAACTCTATAAATGTGAGATACTGTTGAAGGCCCTTCCACGGAATAGTCAGATAAATATATTCTGTCATAACACCTTTTGTTCCAATAAAAGTGATTGACACACTGTGGCCCATGGGCCACATCTGGCCTGATACCTGTTTTTGTGTGGCCCACAAGCTAAGAATAGTTTCTATAGTGAGTATATACATCATTTTGATGATAGTCAGTACCATTACTCCATCAGTAAGAACTTCAGTCTTCTCATTTACTATATAACAGAAAATGGTACTCAATTATTAGTATATTTTAAATTTGTCAGAAATCTTATGGAAATTTGATTTCTCTCATAAGTACCTACTTCGTGATTTTTGTCTCTTTGTTCACAAAGCTTAACATACCTATTATCCAACCATTTATAGAAAAAGTTTGGTGACTCCTGCTCAGAACTGTTCTAATCATGGATATACTCATGCCTTGATCTCTTTTACTGTCTTCTCTTTTCATGATTCAGATTTGCTTAGCCTCCTATCATTTCTGTAATTTTAATTTATTCCCTTAGTGTTTGTTTCTAAAACAGTTCATAGTTCAGGGAAATTTATCTGTGATATGAAAATTAGAAGTAGCAAAATAAAATCTTGCCCCTTTCAATTTTTGATTTGAGAGATGTATTTTAGAGTAGAAGAGTATTAAAAGGAAAAGTTTGAGATACACTTATATGTTAAGTTCTTGGGGTGCCTGCCTGGCTTAGTCAGTGGAGCATGTGACTCTTGATCTCAGGGTTGTGAGTTTGAGACTCATCTTGGGTGTAGAGATTACTTAAATAAAAATATAATCATATTCTGAGTCCTTTTAGAGTTTACATGTTTCTCAACGTATTTCATTATAGATATTATTACAAGGAAAGCACTATAACATAATGCACTTAAAATAGCGAATCAGAAACTGCATTGACATGCCAGGTGGGAGAATTTCTTTTCAAATTCAAGAAAAGCTTTTTCCTTTATCACAGTGCCTCAAAGAAATAAAAAAAAAAAATACAATGTTCTTGGCTTGGAGTTTTATACTCTCTAAGGGAAGAAATACTTGGTTTACATTTAATTCATTCCATTTTTATCGAGCACCTACGTGCTCGATAAGCAGTGTATTAGATCTAAGTATTTAAAGATAAAAATCCTTGCTTCAAGAAGCTCATGTTCTTTGGTGCCCGGCTGGCTTAGTCAGTAGAACTTGAGACTCTTGATCTCCAGGTTGTGAGTTTGAGCCTCACGTAGGGTGTAGAGATTACTTAAAAATCTTTTTAAAAAGGGGAGGGGGAGGGCAGCAATAGCTCTTCTTCTAAAAGGGGATAATGATGGATAAATTTGGAAGAGAAGGCATGGTATTTTGGGTTACATGGAGGAATCAGTGTTCAGTGGGAAGTATGCATCCATGTAACTGTGTAGTTGGAGAAAACTGGTTGTTGCAGGATTCAGGGAATTATCAGTCTGAGTGTTTTGATTTCATTTCTTTACTCATTAAAATCAAACATAAAATTGCTTCTAGCGGCTGGGGGAAGGGTGTTTGTGGAAGTGATTTGTGTTGAGAGAAAAGACTAACTAGAAATAAATAGAAGGATTCCTGGACACCACTAAAGATGGAGCAAAGACTAGGGAATACCATGAATTTGTGATAGTTCTAAACAACAAGGTGATGTCACTTTCCTCTGGTAGAAGTGAGCAGTCCAGAGCATATAAGGTAGATGATTGAAATAGTACATTATGGGATCCCTGGGTGGCGCATCGGTTTGGCGCCTGCCTTTGGCCCAGGGCGTGATCCTGGAGACCCGGGATCGAATCCCACGTCGGGCTCCCGGTGCATGGAGCCTGCTTCTCCCTCTGCCTATGTCTCTGCCTCTCTCTCTCTCTCTCTCTCTCTCTCTCTCTCTCTCTCTCTCTCTCTGTGTGTGTGTGTGACTATCATAAATAAATAAAAATTAAAAAGAAATAGTACATTATTGTGACTATAAAAAAATACTAGAACCTAGTATTGAAAATAAAGGAAAACTGAAGACAAAAACTCAATTCCCCTCGTTTGTATTTGGCTTTGTGACATTCTTTGTTTGGACAGAATGGTAAAGAAGGAAAGAAGCACACAATAAGGACTTAAAGTTAATGATAATTATGCTACTTATGCATAAGTATTCAAGTTGACCACATATGGGTATTCCAGAAATTTCATTTTTTCTATTAACCAATTTTGGACACTTTTAATCCCTTTTGTTTTGAGTGGGTATAGTCATTTTCTTTTAGTGGGCAGAAAACAGTGTGATTTTATCTTGTATTGCACACACTTATGTACAGTGATATATAATATTCAAATGGATTGATTTTTAGAACTTAAATTTTTTTAGTTGCCTAATAAGTGAAAAACTGTAACAGTTGTTATTTCTTTACCTTTAATATTAATATCACATAGCAGGATATGTAGTGTTAAGTTTATATTAGACTTTCAGTTTTCCTTACATTTTGATATAGAAGATATCTTGCAGGCACTTCACTTAGTAAAGCTATACAAAGTAGGGGACCCTGGGTGGCTCATCGGTTTAGCACCTGCCTTTGGCCCAGGGCGTGATCCTGGAGTCACGGGATCAAGTCTCACATCGGGCTCCCTGCATGGAGCCTGCTTCTCCCTCTGCATGTGTCTCTGCCTCTCTCTCTCTCTCTTTCTCTCTCTCTCTGCCTCTCATGGATAAATAAATCTTAAAAAAAAAAGCTATACAAAGTGTAATGTATAATGCAAATATGTAATTATAAGGCATCAGGGTAATCTTTTTTAACCAAAATAACTGGCTTTGCTTTTGTCTTTATCTCCTTGTCCCCCATACGTAATGAACAATATTGGAATTGGGCAGATTATTCTGAATGCAAAAACTTGGATGAAATAATTTATATATTACCATGTTGTATATGTGCTGCCAAAGCTAGCACTATTACCATGCTGCATTTTGTGAGGAACTGCACAAAAATCCCTTATCTACTATGCTATAATTGTTAGATTCTTTTCAGGAACCCTTCTGGTAACAAGACAAATTAGCTTTAGGGAAGAAAAGATATGTGATTAATATTGTAAAGAAATACTAGACTCACAGCCTAGCTGTTAGTGTAACATTTAATGCTGCCGGTGTTGACCAGTCTTGACTTACCTTAATGTATATAACTCAAAGAAAATTACGAGTGAGTAATGGTTTTTCTTAATTACAGTAAAATATACATTTTTAAAAATCTTTGTTTTTCTCTAGTTATGTTCATATCAGATAATGAAAGTTTTAATCCTTCACTGTGGGAGGAACAGAGGAAACAACGGGCTCAAGTGGCATTTGACTGTGATGAAGACAAAGATGAAAGGGAGGCACCTCCCAGGGTGAGTCCTGTTCTTCCTTCAAGTTTGAAAGAGGTCCACTGATACTTATTTGGTGCTACTTACCTTACTGTGCTGTTTTGGGAGATACAGAGAAGTACAGATTTCATTTCTTGCCCTCAGGGCACTTGAAATTTTATCGATCCTATACATATGTCATGTGAAGGAATTTGAGAACAGCATAAAACTATATGATTATAAGCCATTTTATATAAAAATAAGAGAAAAACACATTATTGTTTTCCCTTTTCCTTTTAATTTATTATTTATATTCTAGGGAAAAAGAACTCTGTTACGAACTTTTTTTTTATGGGATTGAGAATCTGTGTTGCAGTGACAGTAGTAGTAAATAATTCATTTCCCACTTACTCATGGAGTAATTATTTTTCCCTTACATAAACTAGCTGAATCCAAAAAAATGACAATTAGACTGACTTTGGAAGTATTTGTTTCCTGGTGTATAAGACAGTTTATAAATGTGGGAATTCTTCATGTATCTGGATAAATATCTAGCTGGAAAACATAACTGTTTTAAAGCCAAGTGATGGTGTTGGCAATACCCACACCATAAATCTTAAAATGGAATACATATACATCTGCTTTAAAAAAAAAAGCATTCAAACATTAGTTAAATCTGTAGCTATAAAGGCTTTTACTTTTGATAAAACCATTCTTTTATTCTCTCTAAAATGCTTTCAATGATCTATCATCTGTGTTTAAAGTTACCCCTAGGAGCCAGATAACAAATGTAATTCAGATGGATTGTAGATTAATTTTTAGCTTGATGTTAGAAATATTTATCCATTTTTCACATTTTACTTATTTTGTTTTTCTAGGAGGGAAATTTAAAGAGATATCCAACACCATACCCAGATGAGCTTAAGAATATGGTCAAAACTGTTCAAACCATTGTACATAGATTAAAAGATGAAGAGACTTATGACGATTCTGGAAAAGATCTGAAACCACATGAAGATCAGCAAGTTGTAAATAATGATGTGGGTGTGAAGGTCAGAAAACTCCATTTAAAAGAGTTGACTAAAACTTACTGCAAGCTTTTTAAAACTTTAAAATAATAATTGAAAATAATGGTCCTTTTTGTATACATGATAATGTCCTCCCAAATTTCGGGTGTTATTCTCAGCTACCTGAAGTAAAAGCTGGAATAATCAGCAAACTCTCTAATTGCTGTTATTACCACTTCAGTACGGTTACAGATGTTCCACGTAGGCAGGATAGCGTCAACATAGGTTTTAAAAAATCTTGCCTGAACCAAGAATAAGATAAGGAATGTCAGAAAATTCATTGTTATGGAAATACTTATTTTTCCCCCTTAATAACATTGATCCACTCTACCCAATTCTAATCTTAAATGTAATTGCTATGACATTATTTTTGGAAGATGTTTCAGAAACCTACACAGATCCTTAAAGTTTGTGTTCCTTTAATGGACTTTTCCCCTCCACATTATATCACAGAAACAAGTTTTCTCGTGTCATTAGAGTTACATACGTTCCACAGTCAACAGAAAACAACCTAACCATCCTGAGTTCAAGCATGCTGAGCTAAGTGACTCACTCATGAACAGCTTGGCCGCTTAGGTGTAGCCTCAGGTGAAGTGTAGCCTCAGCTAAATTATCAAGTTTAATGTGGGTCATGAACCTTTGGGGCCACCTGTTCTCCCAATAAGCATTTTATCTGTGACTGCTACAGATTTCCATGTTTAAAGGTCCCTTGATTTATCCAGAATAGGAATATGTGAAGCTACTTTTACGTGTCTATATGCTTTTAGTCATCTCTACACCCAGTGTGGGGCTTGAACTCATGATCCTGAGATGAAGAGTCACACACTCTTCCTACTGAACCAGCCAGGCATCCTACTTTTAAATTCTAATCTGGACTACGATACAAAAATAGATGCAAAGTGTTAAGGAATGTGAATTCTTTATCTCTTCTTTTACGCAGACTTCAGAAAGTACCACTCCAGTAAGAATCAAAGCTGATGAAAGAGAAAAGTATATGATAGGAAACTCTTTACAGAAGACCAGTGAATCTGAAGCTGAGATTAGTCCTGGAAGTCTACCAGTGACTACAAATATGAAGGCCTCTGAGAATTTGAAGCATATTGTTAATCATGATGACGTTTTTGAGGTAACTGCTTTGTGATTGTTCTCTGAAACAGCTGTAACAGTCTTAAAAATTTGTATCTCATTGTTGCTAACTAAAGATAAGAGGAAACATATCAAAAGCAGAAAATAGGCCAACTCATTTGAGAAATTTCATGGTATTTGCTATAGTATCACTCTGAACTGAAAACTTTATGCCTGTATTGCACTCAGGTGTTTACCATAGAAATTAGAGTATGATGGTTCTATTCTAATTATTCAAAATACATCATTTCAATTGCTTAACAATGAAAAGGTTGCCATAGGTATATTTAAATTATTTCGCTTAGTTAAGCATTTATCATTGATTGTGAAGTATTTTTTTTCTTGAATGTCTGAGAATTTTTTAAAATTTCATTGGTTAGCATACAGTGTTAACATTAGTTTCAGGTGTAGAATATAGTGATTCAACAATTTTATATATTACTCAGTACCCATCAAGAGCACTCGTAATCCCATTACTTATTTCACTGATCCCCCTACCCACCTCCACTCTGGTAACCATCGATTTGTTCTCTATAGCTGAGAGTCTGATTCTCAATTTGTCTGTTTTTTCTTTGTTTGTTTGTTTTGCTTCTTGAATTCCACATATGAGTGAGATCATATGGTATTGGTCTTTGACTGACTTATTTCACTTAGCATTATACTCTCTGGAGCCATCCATGTTGCTGCAAATAGCAAGATTTTAATCTTTTTGATGGCTGAATAATATTCCGTGTGTGTGTGTGTGTGTGTGTGTGTGTGTGTGTGTGTGTGTGTTCCTTTGGGTAAATACCCAGTAGTGGAATTACTGGATCATATGGTAATTCTGTTTTTAATTTTTTGGGGGAACTCTCACACTGTTTTCCACAGTGGCTGTACCAGTTTGCATTCCCACCAGCGTGCAAGAGGGTTCCTTTTTTAAAAATATTTTGGATACTAACCCTTTATGAGATATGTTATTGCAAATGTCTTGTCCCATTTCGTAAGTTGTCTTTTTTTTTTTAAGATTTTATTTATTAGAGAGAGAGAGAGTGCACGTGAGAGCATGGGGAGTGGGGAGGGGAAGAGGGAGAAGCAGACTCCCTGCTAAGCAGGAATCCCCATGTGGGGCTTGATCCCAGGACCCTGGGATCATGACCTGAGTTGAAGGCAGATACTTAACCGACTAAGCAACCCAAGTGCCACCCAGGTGCCCCTTGTAAGTTGTCTTTTAGCTTTATTGATTGGTTCCTTTGCTGTGCAGAAGCTTTTTATTTTGATGTAGTCCCAGTGGTTTATTTTTGCTTTTGTTTCCCTTGCCTCTGGAGACATATCTAGAAAAATGTTCTGGGGCACCTGGCTGGCTCAGTTGGTAGAGCACACGACTCTTGATCTCATGGTTGTGAGTTTAAGTTGGGTATAGAGAGTACTTAAAAATAAAATCTTAAAAAAAGAAGAAAAAAGAAATTGTCAAAAAAATTACTTCCTGTGCTCTCTTCTAGGATGTTTATGATTTCAGGTCTCACATTTGAGTCCTTAATCCATTTTGAGTTTATTTTTATGAATAGTATAAGAAAGTAGGCCAGTTTCATTGTTTTGCATGTTGCTGTCCAGTTTCCCCAACACCATGTGTTGAAGAAACATTATTTTTCCCATTGGATAGTCTCTCCTGCTTTGTCAGTGATTGACCATATGATCATGAATTTACTTCTGGGCTTTATTCTGTTCCATGGATCAGTGTTTCTAATTTTATGACAGTACTATTACTGTTTCGATCACTATGGCTTCATGTAGTCTATGTTGAAATATGTGATTTTGATACCTCCAGTTTTGCTCTTGTTTTGTTTTAAGTAGACTCCACACCTAATGTGGGGTTTGAACTCATGACCTCAGATCAAGAGTCGCATGCTCTGCTATCAACTGAGCCAGCCAGATGCCTCCCATTCTTCTTTTTCAAGATTGTTTTGACTATTTGGGATCTTTTGGGGTTCTATACAAATTTTAGGATTATTTATTCTAGTTCTGTGAAAACTGCTCTTGGAATTTTGAAACTGATTACATTATAGATTGCTTTGGGCAATCTGGCCTTTTTAACAATATTCTTCCAATTCATGAGCATGGAATGTCTTTCCATTTGTGTCATTTTCAATTTCTTTTATCAGTGCTTTACAGTTTTTAGAGTTAACCTCCTCAGTTAAGTTTATGCCTAGGGGTTTTATTATTTTTGATGCAATTGTAAGTGGGATTGTTTTCTTAATTTCTTTTTAGTATATACAAATACAACAAATTTCAGTATAGTGATTTTGTATCTGTGACTTTCTGTATTCAGTTTTCAGTTCTATTAGTTTTTTGGTGGAGTCTGAGACTTTTTCTTTTAAAAGTTTCTTCTAGTGGATCAATAAAAACTGTAGCTTTTTTTAAATAGCCCTATTGAGGTATAGCTCACATACTACATAATTCACCTATTTATTTATTTTTTATGTATTTTTGAAGATTTTATTATTTATTTGAGAAAGAGAGTATGAGAGAACACAAGCAGTGGTAGGAGCAGAGAGCGAGTGAGAAGCAGCAGATTCCTCCCTGAGCAGGGAGCCCAACGCAGGGCTCTGACTCAGGGCTCCATCCCAGGAACCTGGGATCAGGACCCTAGAAATTAAAGCTAGATTATAAACTAAAGAATTATCTACATTAAACATAATCATTGAAGAAAATATAATCCAAGGGCAAAGAGTATGAAAGCAAAAAATAAGAGCTAACTGCAAGAAGATTAATTGATGTGAGCACAGGAGACAAACGGGGAGGGAATGTGGGAGGCCATAGCTCCCAGATGCCAGGTGTAGTATAGGAGGAAATCTGCTCAGCAGCTGAAAGCACTGCACTAATCAAAAATTAGGACAAACCATTTGTTCTTCCTTCTCCTGTTCTCTTATTCTTTGCATTCATTGTCTTTAGGTCCTGTTCATTCCAAAATTTCTGTCAAATTCTTTATTTCTTTATCAACCATCACTGCCATTGCCTAAGGACAGATTTTTTTTTTTCTTTCAGACTTCGGATAGCCAGATCCCTTTCTGCTGGTTTCTTTCTCTTCCCTTACATTCTTAATACCAGAGTTACCGTTTATTTATTTATTAATTAAAGATTTTATTTATTTATTCATGAGAGCCACAGAGAGAGAGGCAGAGACACAGGCAGAGGGAGAAGTAGGCTCCATGCCGGGAGCCCGACATGGGACTCGATCCCAGGACCCCAGGTCACACCCTGAGCCGAAGGCAGACGCTCAACCACTGAGCCCCCAAGGCGTCCCAAGAGTTACCATTTTAAAAGATAATCTGATGTTGTGAATTCCTGGCTTGGCAACTTCCAATAATGACCACACATACTTGAGTCCATATTCAAAACAAAACCTTTCCCTGTTTAATCCAGTCTGACTTTTCTGTGTCCTGCCAGTTATCTGAGCTCTGGCTACATGGAGTTGGCATGCTCTACATACCTTCTCTTATTTCCATTCTTTCATCTGTTCAGAATGTCATGCCTCTCTTACGTTGCCCTTCACATCTCTTCCTTCCCTCTTCATTTTCTCTTCCTATTCTGCTAACTAGAAGTATCTTTCCTTTATAGTACAGCCCTGAAGAGGGTTTGGCAAACTGTGGCCTGTGGCCCATATCTGGCCCATTGCCTGTCATTATATGACTTGCAAGCTAAGAACTGCTTTTACATTATTAAATGTTGAATAAAAATCAAAAGAAAAAGAATATTTCTTGACAAGTGAAAAATTCAATTTTCGTGGCACACAGCCACATTTGTTTGTTTATGTGTTGTATATGGCTGTTTATGTGTTGTGTATGGCTGCTTGTTGTATATGTGTTGTGTATGCCACAGTGGCAGAGATGGGTAGTTGAAATAGACCTTCAGGCCCTCAAAGTGTAACATATTTATGATCGGGCCTTTTTACTGAACTAGTTGGCTGACTCTGGTCCATATCTTTATTAGGTCACTTATGAGTACCTAAAAGTCTTAGTACTTTTAACAGAACAATGTTTAAGACTTGTCATTTATTTTCATCATATTATTTTTTAATTTTTGTCATTAGGAATAATTTAACATGCAGAAGATCTATTTTTATATACAATATTTACAACATTAAAATATCTCAATAAAGAGTTGTTCACTACCCACTCCTTTTGTTCACTAGCCCCATGACCTAATAGCTTTCAATGGCAGATCATCTGTGACCGTTGCCAAATATTAGAGAAAAATTCATGGAGAATAACAAAAAATTCTGTCTTCAAATTGGCCAAAAATTGCCATTAAGTCATTTTAATAGAATAACACATCAGTCCTTCTGACTCCTTGGAACCTGATAATCTTAGAGGGAATAAATGTGAGAATTAGGAAAAGACTTTCAGTAGGAACACCTTGACTAAACTGAATTTTTAAAGACAGTTTCTTCTTATTGTTGTTTTATTATTGTGTTTTTGTTTCTCTAGCACTTGGCATAGTACCAGGCATATAATAATCATTAATATGCTTGAATCATTAATACACTTGACCTTGAATTAAGGCCTCCCATGGAAAATTATCCCATAGTCACTTTGACATATTGGTAATAATTGCCATAGTTTTATATCTGTATTTTGAAAAACTTAAATCATATATTAGTTTTAATCACTATTACCATTAAAGTTTTTTCATCCATGTTCTAAGTATTCTTTTCTCTTTAAAGCTCTTATGACTTACTATCTATTCATTTGAAGAAACCAAAATTTATTTAAATACTTTCTTTTTTTTCTTTAAATTAGGAATCTGAAGAACTTTCTTCTGATGAAGAAATGAAAATGGCAGAGATGCGACCACCATTAATTGAAAGCTCCATTAACCAGCCAAAAGTGGTAGCTCTTAGTAATAACAAAAAAGGTTAGATTGTTGAAAGCACTAAGAATAGAAATGGCCTGAATGTGTAAATTCATAAATTTTTTGAAATAAATTTCTTTAAGTGTCATTATACTACTTAAAATACTTGTTTAGAAATAATTTTTAAAACATGCCTTTCTAAAAGATCTATTCCTTAGCTCTCTATTTAAAAAAAATTTTTTTGCTAGGTATTTTCTCTTCTCTCATGCAAGGTTACGTATAAGAGCATGATCCCATTTCTCCTGCTTATTTGCTGGGTAATCCTTGAGCTCTTAATTTTATGCATATGAATTTACCTAACATTCATTGAGGCTAATGAAAGAGGTTGTGAGTATCAAATGTACTAGGTTATTCAGTGTACTCAGATTGGCACAGTACCTGATACAGAATAGATGCTTATTGTTTTATCTGTCCTGGAGTTCTTTTTAAACCATCCTCACACTGCAGCCATTATTTCATATAACATAGACTCTCAGGCCTTCTTAGAAATGAGAGGGAACTTGAAGGAAATCTATCCCTTCCTTTCATCCCTTCCCACTAGTGCCCTGTATTATCTTTACCAAATATTTATCTAGTTTTTGCCTTTATGGCCTTGACTAAACTTACATCTGGGCGGCTCTTGAATAATTTAGGTTTCATAAAAATAATGGTGGTAATATTTGTCTGAGTACTTACTAGTTGCTTACTGTGCTAAGTATTTTACATGTTGCTATCTGTCACAAGGAGGTGGAAGAAGAGGAATAATATCTAGGAAAGAGCTTACCTGCTATCTTAACAGTATTTTAAAAATTAAGACTCCACCTAAATCCTTAAAGTTGAAGATATAAAGCCTTATGTGCTATTATTATCAACTGTAAAGACAATCCAGACTGCTTGAACTGTGCTCCTAAGATATTTAGAACAGATTAAAAAAATCTTTAATTCATATAATCTCCTGTGACTGTGTGTGTGTCTCTGTATACTGTTTCTATGATTTGGGTAGAATGGCATTAAAAACAGCTTTTAGGGTTGTAAAGATATAGAGTTATTATCTTTTTAAATTTTTTTTTTAGGTATGCTCTTTGCCCAACTTGGAGCTTAAATTCACAATCCTGAGATCAAGAGTCACATGCTCTCCCCACTGAACAACTGGGTGCCCCAAGTTATCTTTTTATCATTACTTTAAAAAAATTAATACTTTTTAAAATGTACCTGCCTATATAATAGAATATGAATATTGTCTGTTTCTGTGTATAAAAAACAAAATTCTTCTCATATATTGATAGTTGCTTTTTTCATGTGCAGTTCTTTGAAATGGTTTAAAAATAGCAAAAGAGAGTTGACCTTGTGAAACTGAAGTCGTGAATGAGGGGGCATCTGGCGGGCCCAATCATTAGAACATGTGAGTCTTGATCGCTACGTTGTGAGTTCAAGCCCCACACAGGGTGTAAAGCCTACTGAAAAAAAAATTGTGAATGAGTGAGTGGAAGAGCCATATACACTAAAACTAATTGATGGCCTTAGAAAAACATTGTATAATATCATCTTGTCAGTAGTTAAAACTAAAATTTTGGGTAACCTTAACATAGATTATATGTATTAAACTTAAAGATATCACATGTTTTAAATTACTTAATCTTTGTGTGTATTAGGACTGAATTTTCAGAAGTGTCATTGGTTATCTTCTAATCCATATAATTCTTTATATATTGAACCAGAACAATGTAAATGCCATTTGTCATCATTGCAAAGTATTAAAGAGAAATCCTTAGTGACTTTATCAACGGCTTACTTTTTTTTTGTTTTGTTTCAGATGATACAAAGGATACAGATTCTTTATCAGATGAAGTCACACACAATAGCAATCAGAATAACAGTAACTGTTCTTCCCCATCTCGGATGTCTGATTCAGTTTCTCTTAACACTGATAGTAGTCAAGATACCTCACTCTGCTCTCCAGTGAAACAAACTCATATTGCTATCAATGCCAAAATCAGGTTTGTGAACGTCTTAACAGAATGATTTATTTGTACAATAGAGATAATAAAGCAAGTAAATATATATGACTAAAAGGATTTCACAAATTACTATTATAGAAATAGTTCGGTAGTAGTAGATGACTTCTTCCTCATTACTACTATGTAGCTTTGCTACATTTCCATTTGTATTAGTTTTTTAAATAGAGAAGAAGAGGACCATGCAACTTTTCATTTTGAGGTCATGGGTTCAAACCACACATTGTAGAGATTACTAAAAAAATAAACTTAAAAATAAATAGAGAAGAAAGGATTTAAAATATTATCTTCATTAAAAAGTTGGACAGTTTTACTGCATTTTTAGGTATTACAACACAAACAGCTTGTTTGGAGTAATTCAAGTTGAAATAGGTACTTTTTAGATAACTCATTTTTGAGAGGTGCCATTAAAGGGCATTCAGTACTTTTAACTACTTCTGTAACTTTGAGTTAGACTTAAATTTGTAGACTTAAATTCAGACTCTGAAACTAGTCTTAATTTCTATAGGCTAACGTTAGCTGAAGTTTAAAACAACTATTATTTGGACTTTCAAGGTATTTGGCTATCAAAATAAAATATGTTGTTTTGCCTTCATGTTAATGTATCAGCTAGGTGCTTATTAGAATGATTTGGGTTACTACTGAATATTAATATTGTTGACTATGTTTTAGAGTAAATTGATTCTTAAATTTCAGGCATAGTTAAGTCAAATTTTGTTTGAATTGATCTGTATGGTAAAAGGAAGGTGAATTTTATGTCTCAAAATGAATTTAGCTATCACATACTTTAATTATGATTATTTATATCTGTTCTCTGAATTTGAGGCTAAGACCTAGTATGGTAAAAAGAATTTATAATCTCTTAGATGGTAAGATAATGATTAATTTCTTGAGTATTTTGTTGAGTTTTGTATTTTATAAATCATGTTTTTTGTGTAATGAAATAAAGGCTAAGAAAGGGATATATCCACACCTTTGTCTTATTTCTAGTAATGAGTATGAGTATAGTATACTAGTATACTCTAGTAATGAGTATAGTCTGTTACCTAATGGGAAGATCAAAGCTAAGGAATATTTGTTAAGCATGAATATTTATATGGCAAAACACAAATATGTTTTCGTATTTGTGTGAAATATAAGTAGGTTTATTTATTTCCACCAAGTAGAAATAAAATGTTTTCTGTAACTTTGGAATAGTACATTTATAAACATCTGCCAAATGCAATGAAGTAACTTAGAAGAGTGATTAGATTTAGTTTTGCTTTTTATCTTCAGATTTTTTCAGGGCTACATTGTTTATTTTGTAAATCACTGTACAATACTTGATATTTTTTGGTTCTGTCTCTTTTTTTTTCATAGCTGACTTTCTTGACATTTTTTGTAGACCTTTGAGTACTTGTTTAATTCTTATTAGCTTTTTACAATTCCTTTGTTTATATATTTGAAACTAATACTACTTAGTTAATATGACTAACTTTGGTTATTAATGTTAGGTTTTCGAATTATTTGTAAAAATGGTCTGTGCTCTTGCTCAGCTGTTCAAGTTACTGGCTTTTCATGTATCTTCCCATCTTTCAAACGTTTCATGTTTTTCTAGCACATTCCTGGAAAGGTGCATAAGTCTTTTTTTCTTCACTGTTTAGCTCTATTAAACTATATTCTGACAAAGTGGTGATCCTGTTGAAAATTAACCTTGAGGGATCCCTGGGTGGCGCAGCGGTTTGGCGCCTGCCTTTGGCTCAGGGCGCGATCCTGGAGACGCGGGATCGAATCCCACGTCGGGTTGCCGGTGCATGGAGCCTGCTTCTCCCTCTGCCTATGTCTCTGCCTCTCTCTCTCTCTCTCTCTGTGACTATCAGAAATTAAATAAAATAAAAATTATTAAAAAAAAAAGAAAATTAACCTTGGAAAAAAAAAGAAAAAAATTAACCTTGATTATCTGTGAATTTAATTAATGTTTTACTTGTCTCCATTTAATGTAAATACGTTATTTGATTATTACAATATTTTAATATTACTACTTGTTAATAAATGACTTTAATCTTTGATTACTATCAGCTCTTTAACTTTGTGTACCGACACATTAACTAGTTATTAATATTTCTTACTACTAAGAAACTGAGCTTTATGATGTTTGTGATAAAATTATCTTTGTTTTAGGCAAGAAGATGAAAATTTTAACAGCCTCTTACAAAATGGAGATATTTTAAATCACTCAACAGAAGAAAAATTCCAGGTTCTTGATAAAAAAGATTTTAATTTACCAGAATATGATTTGAATATTGAAGAGCGATTAGTTCTTATTGAGAAAGGTGTTGACTCAACAGCCACATCTGATGAATCTCACAAATTAGACCGTATCAATATGAATCTTAATAAACTTGTAACTAATGATACATTTCAACCAGAGATAGTGGAAAGATCAAAGACACAGGATATAGTGCTTGGAACAGACTTTTTAAGCATTAATACTAAAGGAGAAGCTGAGCCCTTGGAAAATGGAAATAAGTATCCTAATCTGGAATGTGTAAATAAGGTAAATGGACATTCCGAGGAAACTCCACAGTCTCCTAAGAGGACTGAACCACATGACACTGATTCTTCTGTTGATATGGGTATTTCCAAAAGTACTGAAGATCTCTCTCCTCAGAGAAGTGGGCCAATTGGATCTGTTGTGAAATCTCATAGTATAACTAATATGGAGACTGGAGGGTTAAAAATCTATGACATTCTTAGTGATAATGGACCACAGCAGCCAAGTGCACCAATTAAAGTAACACCTACTGTTGATGGAAAAAATATTGTCAGGAGCAAGTCTGCTACACTTTTGTATGATCAACCATTGCAAGTATTTACTGGCTCTTCTTCATCTTCTGATTTAATATCAGGTACAAAGGCAATTTTCAAATTTGATTCAAATCATAATCCTGAAGAGCCAAGTATGGTAAGAGGCCCCACAATAAGTGGCCCACAATCTGCGCCTCAAATATATGGTCCTCCACAATATAATATCCAATACAGTAGTAGTGCTGCAGTCAAGGACACTTTGTGGCACACCAAACAAAATCCCCAAATGGATCATGTTGGTTTTCCTCCACAGCGTCTTCCTAGATCAGAGAGCACAGAAAGTCACAGTTATGCTAAACATTCTGCCAATATGAATTTCTCTAACCATAACAATGTTCGAGCTAATACTGGATATCATTTACATCAGAGACTTGGCCCAGGAAGACATGGGGAAATGTGGGCCATTTCACCAAGTGACCGACTCATTCCTGGAGCAACTCGAACTACCATTCAGCGACAAAGTAGTGTATCTTCTACAGCTTCTGTAAATCTTGGTGAGTCAGGTCCCACGAGGCGGGGCCAAATTCCTGAAGGAGATTATTTGTCGTACAGAGAGTTACATTCAGTGGGAAGAACTCCAATGATGTCAGGATCACAGAGACCTCTTTCTGCACGAACATATAGCATGGATGGTCCAAATGCATCAAGACCTCAGAGTGCACGACCCTCCATTAGTGAAATACCAGAGAGAACTATGTCAGTTAGTGATTTTAATTATTCACGGACTAGTCCTTCAAAAAGACCAAATGCAAGGGTTGGTTCTGAGCATTCTTTATTAGATCCTCCAGGAAAAAGTAAAGTTCCTCATGATTGGCGAGAACAAGTACTACGACACATCGAGGCCAAAAAGTTAGAAAAGGTAATTAAATATGAGCTTTTTATTTTCCTCTCTATAAATTTATTTCTCTTAAAAATATTTGGTACTCTTTGTTTCTTAAGGTGAAACAAGATACTCTGAATTACTGAATATATACTTATATTTGAGGAGTTTTTCCTTGGTACTTAAAGCAGAGTTCAAGTTTAGACTTAGACTCAAAGTCTGAGATGGTACGATATGGTTCTTTTCTGTCTCTTACTCCCCAGAGTTTTCTAATGAGCTGAAATTCATTTCATATGCTTATATATGTGTCTCTTTTAGATTGTGCTGTACATACGTTAAATAATATACACACACACGTGTACCTCTGTTTAGCATTTTTCGACCTCCTGCTCTCCTCTATTAATAATTGTTGGTTATGTTAAGTATGTGTACAGAAATAGCAGTTTACTGTGTAATTAGCAGGATAACAAGAAACATACCATAAATATAACTATTTTATCTAAGATTTTTTTCCCAGTCAATGTTATAAGACTAACACTGTCACTGACACAGATGACTTCTGGCATGGCATTTACTCTTTTGACTTTTCTGAACTATGTTTCTGACCTATCTGAACTCAAGTGTCTGTGGCTCTAATGAAGTTTGAAAATCATGGGTAGAATAACTTAAGCTCATGTTCGGTTTATAACTTAATTTGTAAAACTCAGCTTTTGAAAAGGAGTTAAAAAAAATTTTTTTGGAGTTAAAAATTTTTTAAAAATTATCACACAGTTCTGTGGCTCAAGCGGATAAAGCACATTCTTTAAGATTTAAATTTATTCATGTCCCTTGGTGGAGTTTACCCAAGAATTTTCTTTGTTCGTTAAATATATGTTTTTAAAAGCAGCTAAATGTATACAACTTCAATTCTTTAAAAAGTTCCTTAGGTCCAGTTTTTCAAAAATAAATGCCTGCAATATGATTAGTACCTATATGAATTCATAGTGAACCTCTACCTAAAATTGTAAGCTCTTGTCAATGCTATCCTCTCACCTTTAAATAGCTGAGCATCTAATGGCCTTAGGCAACTTCATTGTCACCCATTTCATATCAGCTGTAACTATAGCTATTGTTGAGGCTCTTTCAACTTGTGTGCTTTTTCTGAGGAATTTGGAAATTTCTTAAGCAGTGGAGTACCATAGCTATTTTTATAAATAAACTTCTGGAATTGGTATGGCATAAGAGGAAGGAAGGGCTATACTTTTGTTTGTTTGTTTTGTTTTGTTTTAAGAAGGAAGAGGCTGTGGTTAAGTTGATTGAGTTATGAGGGTCTTTAGTGGTCCAGAAAATAAGTGAGAAAATAAATTGAGTCAAAGGCAAGAATTCAAGAGATAGTTTCAAAAACAGACTCTAGAAAGTCTGCTTTTGATTAGAATATTTCTCTAATAAGTCTCTGAGGAAAAGCACTACATAATAACTGGAGTGGTGCCTTGAATTAGCTGGTTGTTGAGAATGCTGGCATAGAGAATGAAGAGCAGATTTGGATGAAGACATGAGTTTGGTTACATTTATATTCTGTGTAGTTGACATCTCAGGTGGCTGTTCTTCCACTACTTTCCCGTCTGATGGAGATATGCCTAGACTTTAGTAAATAGAAAGCACATAGCTGCTACCCCACTCTTCAGTATACCTCTCTGCTTTTTAAATTTAGAAATCTGAAAAAAAATTTAAAAATTTAAAAAAAATTTAGAAATCTGCCATTCAGTTACTTGAAGAGTACCAGATGGTAGTTTCCCAGTTGTGCCCACGGGTAATATAGAAGTGAGGATTAGGCCAGTGAGACTAAAAAAAGCCTTGTGAGGACACAGAGCAACATGATTCAGACTACAAACCTGAAAGCATTGGTTAAAAATGGTGGAGGGTGATGGAAAATCTGTTTACACCTCTGCAATTCCTCTTCCTCCCCCAAATACAATTCTAATGGCCTGGTAGATATTTGAAAAATATCCCCAGGTGATTTCACAATGCCTGTCCTACCTCTAGAGGTAAGTCCTCAAATCAAAAATTGCTACTTTGCCCAGCTTAGTTGTTAATAAAAAAGTAGATAAATTATTGCAGCTTATGTGGTTTTTAGACCTTGTAGTAGTAACCTTTCCTTCCCTTTCCTACAACAAACTGTATCTGGAACCCAAACACATAAATAGATCTCACCTCATGCTGCTCCACACTTATTTAATTAAACTAATAATTCTGGTAAGAAGCACTCAGCCAGATTATGATGAACATAACATGAAAATTTCCACATTCAGTTGCTGTAATACAACTATTAGCGTGTAATGAAGAGCAGTGCCTGAGACCTGTTCCTTAACTGAGTTCTGCACAAATGTGTTGTTATGACAGGGTGCAGTTTTATGCAGAGGTCTATGCACAGGCCTGAATTAAAAACCGGACCTGTTCTGAGCCTCAGCCTTCTTAACAGAGACATATTTACAAAAACTTAATATATGTTCAAAGACCACAGAAAAAGCTTTGTTCTAGATTACACATTATCATTAAAATAAAGGTCCATTTTGGACCACTCAAGAACATGTTAAAACTATATTTAGCACATGGGTATGTGGTGTTTGTGTGTGTGTGTGTGTGTGTGTGTGTGTGTATGTGTGACTGTATAATTTCTTTATTTTTACATTATAATCAAATGTTTATGGAACCTCTGAGTTGCCTCTGCCAAATCCTTATTATTCATGAAACGGTCTGGGAAACTTATAGGCATACCCCGTTAAGTTTAGCTTTTTCTTTAGTCTTACTTTGGAATTCACAAAATAACTAAAAATTTACATTGTAATTTTATAGATCCGTTTCATTCTGGAATGGCACATTAATGTTTGTTGGTATTAGAGATCAGTTTCATAATCTGGAGAAGGTGTGTGTGTGTGTGTGTGTGTGTGTGTGTGTGTGTGTGTGTGTATTCATTCCCTAAAAGAAATACAGAAATTTCTATATTTCTTGATAATAAGTCATACTCAAAATATGGTTGCTCTCAATTTGACCTTAAGACCCTCAATATTCAGGGACATGACTAAAAGGATCCACATGAAAGAACAGCCTTTAACAGCTGTGGGAATTAATGAGCAGGAACAATGAAAATCAGGCATTGTGTTTATTGAGGTACATTTTTCAGGCAGCTCTGCATTAGGGATTCATCAGTGTAAAGATTCTATCAGTGGTTCTTCAAGTTGAATCAGCAAATGCCACTACTAACTCCTAAAATAAATCCTAAGTATCTGTTTATTTGAATGGGAAATAGTTTTCTAACTTTTTTTTTTTACAAGTACATTTTCTAACTTTTTTTTTTCCTGGTAATTGGAGAGCAATGGGAGCCTTTTAAGTGTTCTATCCTAAAACTTTGAGTATATGTTCAACTTTTTTCTAATGTAAGACATGCTTCTAAATGTAGAAGGTATTTTTTTTAAGAAATTACAATACCCAAGAGCCAGGTGTGTCTTGCAGGTAGATTTATTCTGTGGTATATATGTATGTTTAAACTCTCCGTTTATTTAATAATAACATAGAATTGATTTCTATAAAATAAAGAACTCTAGAAGTCCATTTTGACTTAGAAATAACTGGTTGTTGGTAAAACTTATCTTTATAGAGAAATTAGCTTGTATTCCATATATAACTACATATGTACACATATGTAGGTGTATGGCATCAGTTCCTCTCTTCTGACAAACTTCTAATAAGATGTGTTAGGAGTAAAGGAAATGGTAGCATTATAAAAGCCACTGTATGTTTTTTACTTTCTTCTTTAGTGTTTAAACATGAATGGTTGGATTTAAATGTACTTTATGTGTATATGTGTTTGTTGTCATGTAAATATATGGTAAATAGTGCCATTTTCTTGTAGTGGCACTGAAAATCCGATGCATGATATTCCTGCGTGGTATCGGGATTACTTATAAATACGTCTTTGTACATAACATGTCTTGTGAATTTTGCATGCTACACTAATCTCTGTTAAATCTATCCCCTTTTATTCAGAGCATGCTGTCAAGGTCCTTTAATTCCAATTTTACTGCTGTAAGCAACTTTCACTATGGCAGCTCTAGGGATCTGCATGGCAGCCAAGGCAGCCTTGCCTTGAGTGTTGCAGACGGAAGAGGTTCTGGTGGGCACATTTTTCGAGTGAGTACCTGTAGTAGACCAGTACTTTTAGTACCCAGAAGAAAAAAAAAAACCCACATTTTTAATATTTTCACGTTTCTAGAAAATAAATTTTTACTGTGGGTTAGATATCTTAATTACCTTTCAGTTCTTCCGTGGCTTAGTTCTAAAACTCTGCAAAGCTGATTTAGTATTTATCTCTTAAATTTCTTTGGTTTGCAAACTAAGGCTGTAGTGTGCTCTTGTTTATGTAAATAGGAATGAGCAATTGGAATAACTGAGCTGTTTTTTAAAAAATCATTCGGCTTTGTAGTGTTTTCTCTTAATAAAATTAGCTCTCCACAACTCAAGGTATTAAGGCTATGCCATATATGGTACACAAAGGTGTTGTAGGGAAGAATAATTTTTAGTTTAGTGATAGAAAATTGGCAGATGAGAAGCACTACCTGGAAATAAATTTAAGCACAATTCACTGAATATGATTAAATGTAAGGCTAGAGAAATTGTAATAAGTACCAACGAAGAGGCAAAACCCCAATCCTGTTGTACTTATTATATATGTTTCAGCATAGTCATTAACGGTGAAGAAGGAAGGTTTATTCTGCTCATGAAAATTAAGGGTCGAGGATAAAAATGGCAGAGAAGGAGAAAGACCACTTTGGCTCTATTTTAATTTTCTCTTCATAACTACTTGAGGTAGTAGTGTGGCCCATAAATAAATATTTCTTTTTCCTCCTTTTCTTCCATTCTGAAAAAGCTTTTTCTCCTCTTACAACCTTATTTTGTCTCCTCCCCATAGTTTTACTTTCTATATTAACTGGTTACTTCTGGGTCCTTTGCTTTTTCCTGAGGATCCTTAGCTCCACCCCTTTTTTAATACACTGTTGGCTTTGCATTATGTTCTAGGACAGGAGCCGTCTCCTGGATTCACTTTGCTGTGGCTGGACCTCACCTTTCTTGCTCTGCCCTCTGTCACCTGCCACAACTTTGTTTCTATGTTAGAGTGATAGCAATTGTTCTGTAATTTATCACTTTGAAATTGGTAGAAAAGGGTGATAGCTATTAAACTCTGCGTTTCTGGCACTCATTCTAGCTAAAGCCACAGAGTGAAGACCAGGGGCTTTTATAATAATTCAGGGATAATCTCTGTTGTCATCTGGAATGATTGTTCTTTCCAAATTCTTGTACAGTAATATTTTTTGCTTATAATTCTTAAACAAGGCCTTTGAGTTTGTTGCATTTTGCTTTTTCATTCATAACACACTTGTTCTTTTAAAGACTCAATAAAGTTATATATTCAGACTAGAATTTAAACTTTAAGTTATGACCCAAGTTGATTACTGTGCATTCTGAAAGCACATCTCAAAAATGGGGAAGGAAGGCAAAATATTCATTGCATAAATACACAAAATTGGATGAAACCAAATCTAAAAATGCTAATCCATGCTTTGAACCAGCAACTAACTGCACATGATAGTTCTATTGCAGATAAAGCTTCTAAGATTAAATCACAACCCCTCAGGCTTATATGTGTTCTTTGGCATATCATAATGAAGTAGATTTCAGATTATTTTTCTATATGATGATATAGTTATAGTATGCATATCTTCTTTTTTAAAGATTTTATTCATGAGAAACAGAGATTGAGAGAGAGGGGCAGACATAGGCAGAAGGAGAAGCAGGCTCCATGCAGGGAGGCTGATGTGGGACTCGACCTGGGAACCCCAAGATCATGCCCTGAGCCGAAGGCAGATGCTTAACCACTGAGCCACCCAGGCATCCCTGTAGTATGCTTATCTTTGTAGCTAGTCACATACTGTTTTGAAAGTAACAATAGTGCTATTTATTATAGTCTCTTTAGTTTTCAAAAATAGAGCTAGGTGTGTTTAGAAGCAAATTAAAATGAAAACTATGAACATCTTGCTTCCTAGCATATTATAAAAAATATTCAGACTGTGAGATATTGACTCTGTTTTTTCTCTAAAGCTTTCAATGAGGTAAACTAAGGATATTATTATTTGACATATAAAAATAAGAATTCTAATTAATTTTAAAAACGTTTCATCAAACCATTGGTTATAAAAATACTGAGCTGTCCAATGCTAGTATGATAGAATTAAGTGAAAGCGAATTTTTTAAGACTGTATATTTATTCGTATTTTCATCATTAATAGAAAAATCCCAGGTGGCGCTATGCTGTTAAGAGAATAGCAGTTATTTATTTATTTATTTATTTATTTACAAAAAAAAAAAAAAACTTTTTGTATATTAGTATATTTTAGTTGCTCTTAAAATTTGGGACTTTTAACTTTGATTAATAACTAAGTTCATAGTTGCTAAAGGCTGAGTATTACTGTAAATTAAAAAAGCATTATGAGGGACGCCTGGGTGGCTCAGCAGTTGGGTGTCTTCCTTTGGCTCAGGGCGTGATCCTGCAGACCTGGGATTGAGTCCCGCATCGGGCTCCCTGCATGGAGCCTGCTTCTCCCTCTGCCTGTGTCTCCGCCTCTCTCTCTCTCTGTGTCTCTCATGAATAAATAAGTGAACTCTTAAAAGAAAAAAAAGCATTATGAATAGCTTAACAGTGTATATTAAAGGTACTAATATTTCTTCCCATTCTATTAAGATATAATTGACATATCACATGGTGTTAGTCCAAAGTGTACATTGTAATATTTTGATATATATCAAATGTGAAATGATTACCACAAGCTTAGTTAATGTCCATCATAAAGGTACTAATATTGATGGCAGTTATGATCATAATGTATGATTTGGTTCTTCATCTTTCCACAACCTAGTAATATTTTTTCCTAATCTCCTTTCAAGTGTCATCATCATTTTGGTTTCACATCTGAAAGAGCATTATTTGTTTACTTTTTATTTTCCCCTCATTTGAAGCATCCCCAGACATCCTGTCCAGGAGATCCTTGTCAAGATGATATATTCATTTCAGGACAGCCGAACTACTCGTCAGCTACACTTAGTCACAAAGATGTTTCTCCAGACAGCTTGATGAAAGTAGGTGTTCAGGAAATAAATGAAGATATCTCTTTGAATTTACTATGTTTTACAGCTTTTGAACTGGAAATAACATAGATGCTTTAACATTGAAAATAATTTTTTGAGAACTTTTTCCTCTTTAATCATTGAAGATTTTTTAAAAGCTAATTGGGAAATACGAAATAGATTTTTACTCTATTATTTCTTAGTTTAGTCCGTGATTTTTTACAGTGGAGAATGATTTTATTGGGGGCTTTTTTTTTCCTCCTCTACTATCACCTACTTAATTTATTGTTTGAATCAGAGGGTTTTCAGCATTCCTAAAGTGAACCAGTCTTAAATTCTTCATTTGAGAATGTTTCATTATTATTAAAGGCATTTAAAAATACTTTAAATGTAATTAAAGACTTGTATGTGGTAGACTAGATGATGATTGTATTCTTGCTACTTTTGTAACCAAAGCATCACTTACCTAGTTTACTTTTTGGTCACCAATACCAGATAGATCTTTAATAATATCTCTCAATTGTTCTTTCTCCTAACCAATTCCATATTCCTAGTATAACCAGATACAATTTTGAAGCATACTTACGTATTATATTAAAAACTTTTACATTGTTCGAGAGTAGGAACCCAGCCATTTAACATAAATTCATACATAACGATTTGTTTTACGCTTTTTTCCTGTTTTTCTTTTAATTGAACTGTGTTACTCAGTTTCTTTTTCTTTTTAATATCCATTTTATAGTTTAGGTTATTGGGTTTGTTTCATACTTTTATTCTCCTGAGCCATCTGCTAATGATAGCTTAATATAGTCCATGGGTGTGTTTAAAATTGATGTAAACAGCTAAGAATCTAGATATCAGGCAGTCTTAGCATACATGGGTCAGAGGTAATTATTGTTTGGAAAATTTTCCCCAGAGAAAGATATTGAATCTGCACATAGGAATAAATGCTACAAGCTTGGAGAAAGCAAGTGCAATCCTCAGAGTTGTGCATAAGTAATAAAGTGACAGCACAACGACAATTGAAAGAAAGAAAGAAAGAAAGACAGACATGGATAATAGAGTACCTTGCTTTTTCTGCAACCAATATAAGATTTGTCACAGTGATAACACCATTGTGCCCTGTTAGAAAATACCCATTTCAGCTTCCAAAGTTCAGAATTAACCAAGTATAACACAGTAGAAAAGGTAACTTTTTTAAAAGTAAAAGTCTTCAGTAAAGCCACACTTCTTTGTTTCCTTCCACAAGGTTCATGTGACAAGAATATGTAGTTCTGAAACAATTACCATAATCTTCTCCCAAACTTTTCTACTTTGTGATAATTTTAGGAGATCGGGGCTCAATATTTTTCTCAGAGTTTTTCCATAATTCGCTAGTAGATGAGATCACCTTTTTATTAATAATCAGGGAAGTTTTAAATGATTGAATAGCTTAAAAGTATTTCCCCTTCTATACAGCAATCCCTTTATATGCAAATACTGATAATACAAATATAAACTTATTTTTCAGATAGTTTCCTTATACTAATATATCAAATTATTAGCTACATTTCCACAGAGGTGACTTTAAATCTAAAATTCAGATTCATTCTATGCAATGTGAAGCATTAAAAAGAGAATTCTTTTAACAACAAAATAATTTCAGATTTTTTGTGTAGCTTGCGAAAAGTAAAATAGAATGTCAAGGTTTAATTTTTATGTTTCTATTTTATGAAACTAACATTTAGAGAGTTTAAAAGTTGCTAACTTAAAAAAAAAAGTTGCTAACTTGTACACACACACACACAAGGAATAAATTAGTTTTCCACCGTATAGCTGCATTGACTTGTTAATTCTGAAAAGAAATAAAAGTAGAATAATCACTCAGGTTAGGAAATAATTCTACCACAGGAATTGCTATTTTTGTTCAGAAGAAAACATGAACAAATGCATCTTCTGTGTGTGTGAGATGGAAAAATTTACCTGAATTTAATGGGCTTTAATTGTAAAATTGGACATAATCACCATTTTAACATTTGGTTGCTGTAAGAAAGCATGCATATTGAACATGTCCATGCATATTGAACAGGAAAACAAGTAATTTTAAATGTAGGTATGATTTCTTTAAAGACAGAATCTTATCTGCAAGCACTCAGGCAAGTTTCGAATTAATAGATTTTTTCTTTTAAAACTGTAAAATTAGAAAAAATAGTTTAAGTGGCTTGATATTGTGTAATGTAGAATGTTAAAACTCGAGTACTTTTGTGATGCTCCAAGAAGAAAATCCAAATATTTGTGATAAGACGTTATTACTGGTCATTTTAAGACACTTCGTGTTTTTCTTAGATGCCTTTGAGTAATGGACAGATGGGCCAGCCTCTCAGGCCTCAGGCAAATTATAGTCAAATACATCACCCCCTTCCTCAGGCTTCTGTGGCAAGGCATCCCTCTAGAGAACAACTAATTGATTACTTGATGCTGAAGGTGGCCCACCAGGCTCCATATACACAGCCCCATTGTCCTCCTAGACAAGGCCATGAACTGGCAAGGCAAGAGGTAAGAATAATCAAGAATATTTGAAATATGAAACTAAGCTCTTAATGTACTTTGTAGGTTATTTAACTATTAGCAGTAAATCCATATAGAATTTTAACATAGTTTTTACCAATTTGTTTAAAGGTTTGGTTTCATGTTAATAGGGTGTCAAACTTTTAATGGTTTGTTTAATTTGACTCTGTGATCCCCTGTGTTCTGATTTATTGACATAGGATTTAGTGTTTGGGATGTGATTTTTTTTTCCCTAAGGTATTGTTTATCCAAAACCATCTGATGATACTCTAGTAATTAGACTTTCTTCAAGAATATGAATAGTAGACCATGAAACTTGACTGGCATATTATGGTTTACTATTGTTTGACACCGAGAGTTTGAAATTTGCAGTCTCCAAAGTACTTTAAGAATTAAATGTTATAAAGTACTTAAGTGACTAGTCATACGTTTATGTATTTTGATAGTTTTTTGATAAAATAATATTATTAGAAACTTAGGCAGAGAACATGTGCTTTGTTTTTTTTAGACTTTGGGGAAAGGGAATGTTTTATAACAAGTTTAGCTCTTGATGTTTTTTTTTTTTAATGGCCTGGTTATAAAAAATATTGTCAATTGATCATCAGTCCCAATGTCTTGCAAGGATATAAACAGGTTCAGGAAATGAGGAGTTGATACTCAACAACCACCCACGGATTTTTAAATATCTTATGAAACAATACACAGAGATACTATGTAATTTAGATATTTTACAAATGGAAACTGATAATAAGCAGAAAATAAAATCCGTAATATCTTTAAAAAAAGGATCACTATGAATTGGTTGCCTATCCTTGTAAAACAGCAGTAGATTAAGTTAGGAGCTATGCTTTATAATCCCAGCTGTGCCTTTAACTCACTAACTCATTAACATAATATTCCATGTCGTAGTTTCCCTTCATCTGCCTGAATATTTATTTTAGATGAATCTTTACGTATTTTACCAATAGTTAAATACTGTGTTGTAGCATTTTCTGAGATATTAGTAATAGTTTATTTTCATCTTAACTCAGATTCGAGTGAGAGTTGAAAAGGATCCAGAACTTGGATTCAGCATATCGGGAGGTGTTGGGGGCCGAGGAAATCCATTCAGACCTGAAGATGATGTGAGTTTGTTTGTATGTTCTTGAGACACCCAGGAGATTTTATTCACTAACTTAATGCCCTTTATATGTAAGTAAAAATCCAATAGATACTTATATAAATATAGAATCACCTTTTGATTTCTATTGTTCAGCTTTTTTAGAAATGTGATCACTTCAAATTTAATTGTTTGAGGAAAACAAATTAAATTGCCAATTTTACACGTCCATCACATTGTGAAGTGATTTTTAAATTTAGTTATTACTTTTCTGCACATCCTAGAAGTAACTTTGTCACTTTAAGAGAAGTCACTATACTCAAGTCAGAATTACCAGCACCAAAGATAACAAGGGATTGTAACAATATTCAGAGAAGGCAGGAAGATAACTTGTACAACGATTCAAATATATGCCTACTGTCAAAGAAAAATCGTCTCTTCTATTGATGTATACTGTTTTCCATTAAGTGTTTCCCTTTTTTGTTGTTATTAAAGGGTATATTTGTAACAAGGGTACAGCCTGAGGGACCAGCATCCAAATTATTACAACCGGGTGATAAAATTATTCAGGTAACTAATATACATCTTTTTATTATTTTCTTAACTTTTCATTTTATAACATCTGCTTCCTCATCAAGGAATTATTAAATGCCATATTTTGAAAATAATCATTTTGTGAAGTTTATCATTAAAAATCTGTGGATGGGGGCAGCTCTGGTGGCACAGGGGTTTAGCGCTGCCTGCAGCCCGGGGTGTGATCCTGGGGACCCTGGATCGAGTCCCCTGTCAGGCTCCCTGCATGGAGCCTGCTTCTCCCTCTGCCTGTGCCTCTGCCCCCCCCCTTGTCTCTATGAATAAATAAATAAAATCTTTAAAAAAAAAATCTGTGGATGAAAATAGTGGCATTTCTTATAGGCCACTCAGATATTTTCATAGTTTAAGATATTTCTTCCTTGAACCTTGGAAAATCATATGGATCTTTTTAAATACATGTTTGATACATCTTAGCATTTTGTTTAAGTTCAGGAATATTCTTTAAAATAAGATGGTGAAAGAATCTTGTTTGTTATAGGAATTAAAGAATTCATATCAAGCACTTAGAACTGTGTGTTTGATATATAGTAAGACCTCAATAAGTATTAAGCCTAAATTATAAGAAATGTAGTGTTTATCTGATGGTCCAAAGTGATGGGAAGAGCAGGCCTTGCCCTCTGCTGTTCTTGCATCTTGGGGACTCATTTACATGTTAGCACATACACATAACCCGATGTCTGGCTCTGTGTCTTAGCCAGGTGCTTCCTGACATTGGGTTGCCTCATAAGAATCATCTGAAAATGTAGACAATGTACAGGCTCCCGGGTCCCACCTTCAAAGATTTTATTTTCATAGATGTGGATTAGGGCCCAGGAGTCTGTGTGATGCTGTAGATTGCCAAAATGATTCTTACTTTCAGCCAGGTTTGTGCACCGTCAGCAAAAATTTAGATGTATAAATGCAAATAGATTACTGTGGAATGTTTTTCCTAAAGACGTTTTTCTTCTTTCTTCTAGGCTAATGGCTACAGTTTTATCAATATTGAACATGGACAAGCAGTGTCCTTGCTAAAAACTTTCCAGAATGCAGTAGAACTCATCATTGTACGAGAGGTTTCCTCATAAGAATTGTGGACAAAGAAAGGGAAGGCAGCAAGATTTATTGGAAGATATTTGCAGGGGAAATTAATATTTTGACTATTTTTATATGTAAAGAAGAACTCAAAAAATTATGTTCAAATTTGTACATTAATGAAATAATGGAACTTGTGGTTAGAGGGAAAGAACCACTGTACAGTATATAGGGGAGACTGTTGAATTCATACCATGTAAAAGTTCTTGTTAGGTTTTTAAACATAGCAATCAAGGCTACAAAAACAAACATATGTTGTTTTTGTATAGATTGTAGGTTTATTTTTGGATTTCATACACATGACTGAACTCTGTGCAAGGCTCTAGTTAGCCTTGATTGTAGCCCAGAGACAGATGGCAGAGCTATCTGTCTCATAGCTTTTATGCCCTTATTTTTATTCAACTCGTATTAATGTTTTTCTGCTGAAACTACTTTTTTTTTTTAATGTGGGCAAGAGATTTGAAGTGTTGGTTTTTGATATGTGCATATTGAATTGAAGAGTGAGTAGGTGAAGGTGGTACTGGTGGGTTCACTTTCCAAGGCCAGATTAAAACAGTTAATTCCTATAAAAATCTGGAAGCAAAGACTGAAAAAATAGCTGTGTTAATGTGTTTTTATTAATAAAATAATGCAATAAAAATGTAATGTCTTTTTAAAGAAATAAAAAAAGACGATAATTGCATTTTATGAACTCTACAGGATCTGTTCTTGTCATAGCCATTGACAATACATTTGCTACTGGTGATTCAATTTTTAATTTTTTAGTCACAGGAAATTTTTAACTCTTCTGTAGATGCATGTCCATGCATTTTTTTCTGATATGGAAATCTCTTGATTTTTTGCAAATGGTGGTCCTTGCGATCTGTTTTATAATTAGTATTCCATTTTAATCTTAATTTATAATTTTTATTTTAAGCAGCAAATGAAACTAAAATGGCCAGTTTTAAGATTGTGTTGCTGTAACACAAAGTGTAAGCAGATTTAGGAAAGCCTCTTGATTTTGTTTGGTCTCACATTGCCTTGGTAAAGTAAAAGGAAACAGTACGCATGGAGCTAGGAAACCAAAGCAAGTTTGTGAAATTGGCACAGTGATAGAGAATTGCTGTGGAGTGTTGTAGAGCAAAGGGATGGGTCCTTGAGGCCTGCCAGTGTGTAAAGGTGTTCAAATAAAGGGCTGTTCCTACAGGTAACATTAAATGTGAACTCGACACTTCAGAGTCTTTAAAGGGTTTCTAAGTGTATCAGTGTAATAGAATAATGTTTTACCACCAGCTGCCTTTGTTCTTCGTTAGTGTAACAAATATTTCATAGATGTTTATTAATTTGTTTATCCAAACTATTAATTTTGTTTCTGTTCTGTCTGTGTAATTCAATAAAATTTGAGTAACATGCAAAGGTAAGAATTAATGCATGGTTATTTGGACCAGAAAAAAGTGCCACAGAAGACCAATAACTGTTTTTTAGTCGAGGCTAGTCTGGAGCCTTTCATTAGAGCAATATTCAGTTATTGCAATTCATTTTTAATTACTAAGAAATATAATTTTGGAATTTTTAATCTGTTATGCTTTGTTCTTCAACTTTATTTTAATTACGACTTTTATAGGACGAGCAAAAATGGCAATTTACATTATTTTTGCAAAAATGTTAGACTCGTTCCTTTCTTGCTAGTCAGAGTAAATAGGCAGTAATTTTGAAAAGATGTGAACTCAAATATTGCACTTCTTTCAAGATGTTATCATTTGGTTATTGTACTGTATAGTTTTAATAATATTGATTGAAACCCTTTAACAACTCTTTGTAAATTTTAACTCATTTTAGTTGTTTTTTCAGTACTATTTACATAGGAATTGATTTTTATGGATATAGTAGAAGAAATGTGCTGTATTTTGATAAAATTCATTTACTGTATGTGTGTTGTAATCTCTAAAAAAATAATGACAGATTCTTAAGACAAGCCTTGGTGTTCCCTTTATTCATAGGTTATTTTAAAATATTAATTTTGACACGTCACTTTTTGTTAATTTCAGTCAATTTTTCAGTCACATTCTACTTTTAATAAGGAATACATAAAATAGATATAATTGCGACATTTTCAACTGAACTACTTTATCTCAAATCAGATACACAGAGATAATTTTGGAAAAGGAAATTAGACACAGAAAACAACTGATTGAACAGTGATCTAACCTTAAGTTAATTGTCTGCATATTATACTGATACAAGTGCAACAAGCGTTACATGTACTAGTATTGTATTTTCCTCTAATTTTTTAAAGATTTTTTTAAATTTATTTATGAGAGAGAGAGAGCGAGAGAGAGAGAGGCAGAGACACAGGCAGAGGGAGAAGCAGGCTCCACGCAGGGAGCCTGACGTGGGACTCGATCCTGGGTCTCCAGGATCATGCCCTGGGCTGAAGGTGGTGCTAAACCGCTGTGCCACCCAGGCTGCCCTTCCTCTAATTAATTTTAAAAAAATTTTAATGTTCTTATAATATATGTAGTTGAATAAGAAAGAAATTATATAACAGAAAAGTTAATCGCAGGGACGCCTGGGTGATCAGCAGTTGGGCATCTGCCTTCAGCTCATGGCGTGATCCCAGTGTCTGGCTCCCTGCAGGGAGCCTGCTTCTCCTTCTGCCTGTGTCTCTGCCTCTCTTGTCTCTCATGAATAAGTAAATTAAATCTTTAAAAAAACCACAGAAGTTAATAGCAAAAAGCTTTGCACTTCAACTAATAGCCATAATTTTCTTCCAAAAAATTGGAAAACTAACTCTTTGTTAGAATTTTTGGTTGATAAAGTTTAAAAATTTGAATGAAAGATTAAATCTTCTGAGGAAATGAAGACATTTTTAGTTTACATATTGTTGAGTAATTTGTAGTCTAAGCCCATACCCATGTGACATTATTTAAATATTATGTAGCAAATCATCAAAACCAAAACTCTCATTTTTAGTGATAGTGTTTAAAATTGATCACCCTGAAATTTTAAACCATTAAAAATTATATGCTCAGAATCCTTTATTCCACACAGAATTCTTTACACAGACTAAATAAAGTTTTATGCTGATTTATGAGAATCATCATCTAAATCCATGAAATTCTAAAACTTCCCATATATTTTTTATGTAAGTATTTTTCTGACCTCTTGGGACTTAAAGTTGTGTATATATGTGAAATACAAAAAAATTTTAAAGACTTTCTTTCTGTGTAATCTCTACACCCAATGTGTGACTTGAACTCACAACCAAGATCAAGAGTCCTATATGCTCCACTGATCGAGCCAGCCAGGCACCCCTGAAAAATTCTTTAAACACAAGCAATGACCTAAACAGAACTAAACCTTGTGCTTCAAAGGAAATCCCATCCACAGCTATGTGATATTTTTATCAATGTTTATGAAACATTCCCAAATTTTGTGCATATTTAGATTGAAATAGCACAGTGAATTAGGTGATAAACTAATGCTGTTTAAAGTTGTGTGATTTATTTTATGAAATTCAGAGTGAGAAGAATTGTCACAGAAAGACCATTGTTTTGGCATTTTAAACCCTTGTAGTTTTGGATACGGAGGAAGTGTAGTTTACCTTAAATTATTGTTTTTTACTTGTACAAGAAGTCATTGGAATGGGAAATGTTTTCTAGTTAGTTCAAGATTAGTGATCAGTCAAATCTATTTGAATTATAGATCAAGAATAGATCAGTCAAATCTATTTCATTCCCTCTATTGCAATTCTTAATAGCTTATCCAGTTTAATGTAAATAGATTTCTTATGATGGGGCAGGGATCGAGTCCCACGTCGGGCTCCCTGCATGGAGCCTGCTTCTCCCTCTGCCTGTGTCTCTGCCTCTCTCTCTCTCTCTCTCTCTCTCTCTCTCTCTCTCTCTCTCTCTCTGGGTCTCTCATGAATAAGTAAAATCTTTAAAAAAAATAGATTTCTTATGAAATAGACAAATCAAAATTTTATAGCTTATCAAAAGCATTAATGAATGCACATAGTTGGTGTACAAGGGAACAAGATACCACTTGTCTTTTAAAAATAATCTGTATGGTATGGGCAGCCTCGTCCAACTTTTAGGGGATTCCCCTTGTTTCTTTTTTTAAGATTTTATTTATTTATTTGAGAACACAAGCAGGGGAAAAGGCAGAGGGAAAGAAAAAAGCCTCCCCACTGAGCAGCGAACCTGATGCAGGGCTCCATCCAAGACCCTGGGATCATGACCTGAGCCAGAGGCAGATGCTTAGCCAACCGAGCTGCCCAGACACCCCCCTCCTTGTTTGTTCCTTTATTATTTTTTAAAATAAGCTCCATGCCCAAAGTAGGGCTTGAACTCACATCCCTGAGATCAAGAGTCTTGTGCCTTACCAACTGAGCCATCCAGAGGCCCCTCCCCATTTGGGGGAAGAGGGGCAGAAGTGAGAGAGAATCTTAAGCAGACTTCACGCTCAGTGTAGAACCGGACACGGGGCTCAATCTCTACCCTGAGATCATGACCTCAGCAGAAATCAAGAGTCAGATGCTTAACCTAACTGAGCCACCCAGGTGCCCCTAACTCTCCCCTTGTTTGTTTGTTTGTCTTTTAAGATTTTATGTATTTATTCATGAGAGACACAGAGAGAGAGGCAGAGGATCCCCACTCAGGGATCCCTCTCCCCTTGTTTCTTAACAGAGAGTTCAGAAAAGGTGGTCCATCTTCTAACTAAAGCTGCAGTTTCTTTACTTCTGCAGAATTTGTAATTCCGGGAGATAGCAGAGTCATTTACAGTTTGGGGAAATGTATTAGACAATGCTATTTTTTTTTGGACTATGAATTATCTTTGTGAAACAATTTGCATTCTAAACTGAAAAAAAGAAAAAAGGTGTTTTTTGTTTTTTGTTTTTTTAAGGAAAAACACCTCCATAGAATCTCTTCAGGTTTTATTTTAAAGAACGATCAAGGTATACTAAAATCTTTCTAAGGGATTGTTAGGAAGAAGACTGGAAAAAAATAATTCTGATAATTTCCTTTTCATATAACATGTAAGAGACATTTATGATCTCCGTTGGGATTTCATTTGGCCAATCTAGCTTCGTAAGCCCTTAAATTGTAGGATGAACTATGAGCTCACGTATCACCAGTAAAGGAAGAAGTCCGTAGTTGAAAATCATACCCCCTCCATGATTCAGTAGAGCTATTTTTATTTTGCATGAAAACATGATAAAGTCTGTACATATTTTTCCTGAACCAATGTTCCTTACTCTAATCAAACCAGTTTTATTCCTCCTAGGCACAGCTCTCTTTAATGTGTTCTTCTTCCCAACTAACTTGTCAGAAAAACTAAAGGCAACTAAACTAAGCATTGAAGAAAAAGCACAGAGCATGGATTTTTTAGGATGGATAATTTAGAAGGTTCCTCATCTTCATGAGAAGCAAAACCCAATCCTCTGAGAACTAATTCTATCCCAGAATGGATATGAAAACATCTTTCACATTTGGATCATCCTTCAAAAGGGCATTCTATTTCCCAAAAATAGGAGGGACCTTGTGCGGGCTTAGGTGTCACAGAGTAAATTTGTTCAAGATTGCACTCTGGCATATGCTTCAATCTCCTCCCCCTCCACATCCCTAGAGGCAACAGAAAACAATTATTTCATACCATGATAGGTAAAAGTATTATTTAGTCTCCACGTTTGGAGAAATAGAAGTGCACTGGTTAAATAGGTTTTAAAGAATTCTTTGAAATCCTAGGACAGGAAGGCCAGAGAATTCCACCGTAAAAGATGAATTTGGCTTCAGGGATGCTTCAAAAGTAGAGACAGAATAAAAGGTCCAGTAAGAGCACTAGATAATGCTGGATGCATTGGCTTTAATAATATAATAAGATGCAGTGGTTATAATAACCACCTTTTTAATGCCAAGCACTATGCAGAAGGTGATGTATGGTTAAGGGCTGGAGCAGTGAGTGATTGCATTAAAAACCGTCCCTCCTTGTGCCCATCATTAGGGAAAATAGTTTGCAGTAAGCAAATGACATTCCCAGACAAGTTCATACTAAGATGAGAACAGTAGTTATTGAACATTTGAAGAAAAGTGACACCATCAGGAGAGTCACCAAATAGCTAGTTTTATTCAAAAACCATTATTTTGAAATAGGATCTTCTCAGGGACAAACGAGAATATTGAATTTGCAAGATCAACTGTTAGGGAAACATTTAAATATCTTTATATTGGAAAGTGGAATTTGTCACAAATTCCGTAGTTGGGCTGAAGAGTAGGAAGATACCCTGAGGAGCAAATCTGTGAGCTCTTTAGGTATGAATTCCATAGGATGTAATGCAAACGAACTAAGGAACAGTGTGGAATGAGACTTGAAAGAGAATTCTTGTGTTCTAACATGGATCTAATAGGATTTCAAAG